GGATGTATTCAGCTGGGCTCAGTCCCCGAAGGCTTTGTTCTCCAATCTGTTTATACAGTTTCCCGTAGGAGTCTGTAATTTTAATCAGTAAATATCTCCCTTGATTTATCACCTTCTATTGACATAGTGGTAATTCAAGCAGTGGAACTAAAGCTGGGCCTGCTGTGTGTTTTTTCCCCTCATTGTGCCCGGCCTCTGTTTGATTTTTTTCTCAGTCCTCTTAGGTAATTGGTCCGCCTCTGACACTCTCTCTGTGACCCGGCTGTGGTCAGGGGTCAGTGGGTTCCCCCTTCCGAAGAGCAGAATGTTCTAACCAATCACGACACCATCCTATCCCGAGCTTACTAAAACCAGAGCAGACAAACCACAGACTGATAGGACCCAGTGGATTTCATTTTAAAAGTAGAAATCCAAGACGCTTATAAAGAACCCTGTTATTCTCTCCAGCCCCAGAGACAGTTTGGAGACTTAATCCACTGATTTAGTATCTCCGAGTTGAGCAGGGAGAGCCTCCTTCACAAAGCTTCGGGAGCTGCCAATTTCCACATTAGCAGATTGATCCCTCTGTAAATGTGGGGCTGGATAAGGCCTGGTGCTCAGTTTTACTTTTTATTAATGCATATATTTATTTAGTGTTTCTACTGGTAAATTGGTAAAATTCCTTGGGCGCATAATATCCTGATTTCAGCATCACATTTGACTAAAAACGATCTCCTTGATGGCCAAGATAAAGGAATGAGGACTTGCTGGTTCAAAGCTGGCTTGATATGCTCCCAGGTTCTGTGCTAAGCTAGTTGTGTTTGCAGTTGGGGACTAAAAGGGAAGGCTCAATGTGGAGGATGGGGGTCGAGATTCCCAAAAGATCTTAATGAACTGAAAGGGTGGGCTGACATTTAAAAGGATAAAGTCAATGTAAGGTTCTGAACAGTGGTTTCCAAAATCAATCGCCAAAGCACCAAACAAAGGCAATCTGTTTAAACATAAGTTTTGTGAGTTACTATGTTAGAAGTTTAGGAGTCCACAAGCTTAGTAGATGCTAACTGCATGGCCCATGGCTGCCAAAAATACTAATGGTTGTGTTGGTAACATGGTTCCCCCGAGTCATCTAGTGACTTCAGTGTAAGTCACTAGACTTGACTTACACTGAAGTTTTTCATCTTTTTATCCCCTATAAGAAGTAGAACGGTGCCTAATACTGCAGAGGCTTATTTAAGTATCGTTTGGATGGATGGATGGATGGATGAATGGATGGATGGATGGATGGATGGATTGGATGGAAGGAAAGATAGATGGATGGAAACTAAGGGAAGAAACTGGCATACTGGTCAACACATAGCTAAAATATTGTGTTTAGTTTTTAATGCCATGTTTAAGGATGGAATAAAGTGGAATGTGTCAAGAGAAGAATGCCCAGGTAGTGAAGGATTTGCGAATCACACCATAGGTGAAGGAGTGGAAGACATTGGTGTATTTAATCTGAAGTAGGGGAAGGGAAAGGGGTCACTGGGTAAGGGGAGAGAAAGTCATCCAGATTTAGAATTGTAAAGGCAAGCATATGTGAGAGGGATTAAAATAATTTACATTGTTTCATAGGATAAAGCTAGAATCACCTGATGGAAGCAACAGATAGATTTGAGCTCAGAACACGGACAAAATCTCTACCAATTAGAAGGGTTCCCTGGTGCCTAAAGGGAAGTGGCCTGATTCTACTGATGGGTCTTTCTTGCGTAAGGGTGACTGCCATAGGCAGCCCCTCTCCAGAGCAGCTAGCTCCTCCCCTAGGCTGCCTCCACAACTAGTTGTCAATATTCCTTTCTCAATGCGTTATTTAATAGTGCTTTACATTACATTTATTTTATATGTCTATAGTTATTTATTTCTTGGGCACAGGCCTGTGCCTTTTGTATTCTTTATACGTAGTAGAAAATCAACATTTACTCTGTCGAGTTAAATAGAACTTGGCTGCCTCTTTGATTCAAAACTAATACTAAAAAAATTCGTTGTGTCTAGTCTGAGATCTGGGGAAACGCAGAGACTCTGAAATGGCAATGTAGCCGTGTTGGCTGTCGTTCCAAGTTCTGTATTTGAGGGACGATCTCGTCTGTGAATCTCTTCTTCCCATCTTTAAAGTAAGAATACCTGTATTCTTGAGGTTTGTGATACTGATATGTAGTGTTTCATATTCTTTCAAATTCTGAATTTAAGGTGCTGTTAAGATGATATATAGCATATTAAAGAAACATTGGTTCTTTGTCCTTTACCGTCAGCATTTTTTTTCCTCCAAGTTCCCACTAGGAAATTCTAGAAAATTCATTTTAATAAAACCCATTTATCTGCTACCCAACCAAACATGTATAAACTATTGGAGTCTTTTGCGTATAATAGAAGGGATCTTCACTCTCTTCTTCCGAAAGGAACTAATAACTATTTGGGCATTTCCTAATAACTCAAGTCACTGAATAGTTTAGTCTGGGAGCATACAGATTTCACCTTCAGATCATATGAATGGAACAGAGTGCCTCAAATGTGCTCATAGACTTGCTTCCGTGACGTAGTCTCACTGATGGTGCAAATCCAGGTGGGGCCGAGAATGAAATGATGAAGGTAGTTATCCTTGTGCTTATTCTGTTGGATGAAAAGAATTGCTCTGATGCAAGCCTTGTGCTATTTCTCACGATTACATCATTGCCTTCATATTGCATGAGATTGCAGGGTGGGGCTGGACCAGTACTTCAGTGACAAGACCTTTCTGGAAGCTTAGCTCTTATCAAGCCTGCATTCCATCACACTGCCACATTCTTTCCCAAAGGTGGCAGCATTCTGGTGAATGGTAAAGTAAAATGATTTCCAGAGAAGTAATTAGCAAAGTGCACAGAGGCTTAAGGGGAAAAAAAAAAAAAAAGACAGGCTATCAATCAATAAATAATAAAAAATTCAGTCGAGGGCATTTTCTGTCTTGGTGTACTGTATTCAGGAAGAGAGAGAGAGAGAGAGAGAGAGAGATTCATGAGGACAGGTCAGGTTATCCCTTCTTAGCTCATGTTACAGAGCTACTATATAATATAATATACACACATAAGGAGTGGTGATAGGATTGAAAATTGGAACTGTGATGTCACCTCTACCTGTTTTCCTACTGTCACTCAGGTTTTCAGGTTGAGCTGTAAGATACCTGATCTTGGCTATTCATGGAGTAATTGCATAGACATTGATCTCTTAATGGTAGACGATGAGTTAATTCATCCCCAAACCCTTCTAACTTGGCAGATGTGGAGTTATTAGTCATCAGACTCACTCTGGGCATTGCATATTCTATTATTTATCATTTACATATAAATGAAAGTGTGAACCTCTCGAGGGGAGAAACTGGCCCATAAGTAAGAGAAGGGTGGAGTGGTGGGAGAGGGATGGGACAGCCCTGGGTGATTCAGAGAGTTTCTGTCGCCAAGAGATCAGGGTCAATATTGGCAAAAGGATGAGAGAACAAATAAATAAATACAGGATTCGGGGAGATGAGGGTGGCCCAGGAGACAAGGTGGGTTGGGCGTGGCTCTGGTTATTAGATGAAGAAAGGTAAGGAGTCAGATTCATTTGTTTATGCATTCGTTCCACAAATGGTTTGTGTGCTCGATGAGGATGTACAGACGTAACCCTGCCCTCAGGTAAACAAATAATATGTAATTACACGTGGGAAAAAGTGCCATGAGGGAACCAAATAGGGAGTTACAGGAGAAAATGATGGGGCTGGGGGTTAAAGAGATGGGGATCGATTTGAATAGTCTTGTCAGAGAAGATCTCTAAAGGGTTAACAGTTAAACTCGAACTTGAAGGATAAGAAAGCACCAGCCACACAAAGCGAAAAAGACAAGTGACAGAAGCTTTTGTGAAGGCTTCGAAGCAAGGAAGTCCTTGACAGATTCAAAGAAGTAAACCGTGAATGGCTCTTGCAGTTACTGACACCTATCATGGTCAGACCCTGGTTTAGGTGCTTTATGTGTGTTAAACCATTTACTCCTCCCAACCCTATGAGTAGACATTGCTGTTATCCCCCACTTAACTGCTGAGGAAAATGAGGGGTAGTGTGTCTGGAACATAAAGGACCTAGGAGAGACAGCTGAAATTCAAGTTGGAGAAGCAGGTAGGGACCAGCAGGGGTTTCAGCAGGGAAGTGGGATTAATCTGATTTGTGTATTTAAATGATCCCTCTGGATCACTGACAAGTGGACTGAAAAGGGGACAAGAGAAGACATGAAGGCAACATCTAGAAGGCGTTTCAGGTTCTAGGCAAGAGTACACGTAGCTGGGCCAGGAAGGTGGCTGAGGAGATGGCAGGAAATGGTGGATTCAAGGCATGTTTTGGCTGCATGGAGATTTGAAAGGCAGCCAAACAGCGAGGACACAGAAAGAAAACACATAGACTCAAACCTAATGACAGCTCCCTTCTGCTAAAGAGAGGGAAGGGAGAGAGAGCTGAGAATCAAAATCTTGACATTGCAAGACTTTCAGGCACCAAACCAGGATCATGCCTTGCTGTCAGTATACGTAGGACTTAAAGACCCACTGCCTGTATGTTGTGGTTTGGCTGCCCTAATTCCGCTCATGTTTTTGTTGTTGTTGTTGTTAAATGGACACACACATACCCCTAAACACACACACACACACACACACACACACACACACACGCACGCCTCCTATCCACTGTGCCCTTAGAAACAGTCAGCACGTAAGGCTTCTTGATGGGACCAGAGAAGTCTCTATGCAAAGAAGAGAGACCTGCAGCCTAGAAAATGCAGTTACCAAAAAAAAAAAAAAGGAAATAAATGAAGACTAACACATGAAAAAGGCTTACCTGAGGGAAATGGGTCTAGCTAACCTCAAGTCAATCATTAGCTGTGCCCTTCAGGACGCTGGACACTCACACACTCGGGAATTTTAGGAGCCCGGAAACTCAGAGCAAAGTTTATTTTCAGAACAAGGCCTGAAGAAGGAAGCGAAGGATAAACAGGGACCAAATGTTTTAATTATTTGAAATGGTTTCCACCCCAACACCATTCCCCAAATCTTAAAAGAACGGAGGTCAGGGGAGATTTATGGGAAAACGTTTTCCTTCAGCTCTCTGTCATCCAGGCTTGCCACGGCCCCATGCTCCCGCTTCCATGACATTTCCTTCAGGGAGCAGCTGGGTATACCCGTGGCTGTTTCGTGACTTTGGCCAGAGCTGGGCGTCAGAGCCTGGTGAGTTTTCTGGGCGGCCGTCTGGAACCGTCCTCGGCTTCAGAACAGTAGCCACAGCTGGTTCTCCAGGGACCGCCTCTGAGTTTCATGCGATACAGCTCTTCATCTGGGTTTTATAGAGAACAGGGGTCTTGACCCTGGAATGGAAGAGAGCACAGCCTTGTTAGCAAACTGTCCAGGGAAAACTTTAAGGAAAACGAATGTGGTGGAAGAGAGAGGGAACTGGGACGGGCTGAAGGAATACAGACCCATCATGGAGTGCCAAGGCCCCAGCAGACTCCCTGGGTGTGGCCTTCAGACAAGAAAATCAACTCCAGATAGCTTGGGGAGAGTGAGAGGAGAGGACAGACGTGTCAGGAGGAAAAATAACTGCTAATATGATAAAATGCGAGTGGCTACGACAAGCCGTGTGGCCCATCGAAGATCCTAGGAAACGCAGCTCAGAAAAAGTACAAAAGCCCTTCAATATGAGGTAATGAGGCGCGTCTAATTATATTTCAGAAAGAAACAGCAAGAAATGCTTTCATAGCCTTCCCCTCTTTCTGCCCTCACGAACGAGTCCAAATCCCAAACGGAGAGACACCGTTATTTCAGAGAAGGTGAGGAATTTCCGAAAGCATCACCAGGTTGTGGCTTTCCCAGAACTGAGAAAAACTAGCACACAAACCCTTCCCCGCCAGCTCCCTTTTCCCCTCCCCAAAAAACTCCCATCAGGAAACAGCAGGGGGAGGAAGAAAAAAAGGAAAAAAAAGAAAAAAAAAAAGCCAAAAACACAGGCAGCCCCACCATGAGAAATCAAGGCAGTCGAAATGACATTTGACACCGCCAGGCCACAGCTGAAGAACAAGGGAAAAGTTTTAGGGTGACTGTCACTGACCCATAGTCTCTCACTCCTAACCTTGCTCTCCAACATATGTTTCTCATTTCCTTGCTTATAGCTGGTCCAAGCTAATGATATGTGTTTTGGCCGGGATCCCGTGCTTGGCATACAGCCGGTCTTGTTCTCATTGTCCAGGCTACTTACAGAAACCTCTTTCTCTGTCTCTTTCTCTCTCTCGAAAAACGGGCTTTAAAGAACAGTAAATATGCAAAACAGCCCCCGTGCTCTATACAGCTACCATCTTGAACATGGCCCCCGCTACCCTAACACACCCCATCAATAAAGGCCTGAAGAGACTGCCCACGGGCGAGGGGTGCATTCAACACAAAAGCAGTGGAAATTCAAACAAATTGGCCCATTAGAGTCTCACACGGCTATAAATACAGCTCGGCTCGGGCTATTTTGAGGGACGGTGGCATGGGAAAGTTCGGCCTGGAATCTTGACTTTGTCAGAGGAGACGGATCTCTCCCAAGACATGGGAAGAAGATGGAGCTCTCGGCAGACAGCAGGAAGGAGGGCACGGGTTCCGGTCAGCTCCAGGCACGGGTAAAAGTGGATGGAGGAGATGTGGCCGGGCCTTGCCCCTGTTCTCCAGGCGTGGGCTCTAGTGTCACTCAGCGTGTCCATAACCTCTAAAAAAGCTGAACCTGCCCCTTTGATCCTTAGAGGTCAATGGGCCATTTCACTCTTTCCTGAAGGACTAGGCGGGCGAGTGGAGGACAGATGGGAAGAAGAGTGACCTAGCCAGTCTGGGCAGGCCCCACACTGCAACAGGCACCTCTGGCTGGCCCGGAAGGGAATCCTGAAGAGGCCATTTTTACCAGTCAGACCCCAAAGTGCGACACCCAGAATGTATATGTTATGACATTAGGGCACAGTCACATGGCATTTTTTAGGAAATCAGGGCCCATACATGCATTATGAACAAAATATGTAAGCCGGGAGTGTGTTTGCAATGTCAAGAACTGCTTCACAATTCCCCTCAGGGTGTGTCAACATATAGCATTTAGCTGGCAACAGTCGGGAATGAGTAAACACAGAATACACATATACTTCTGCATTGTGGACCCGCCCACTTTGGGGAAACACAGCGTCACTGCTGGGTCTGTTCAGCCTTCCTTATCTTCGTGGACCCTACATCAGTGTCTGCTCAGAAAGCACACCCAGGAAAACTTTGGATTTACTCACTCAGTTAATAAGTTTGAGCACCTACTGTATACCAAGCATTGTGGGAGGCATGGGGTGACACAGGCACAGCCCTGACCTCTGAGACATTCGGCCCCGTGGATGCGTGTGATCCATTCCCAGACCCTACAGCTTTCTTTACCGCACATCCCAGTTTGCCCAGGACAGCCCCGGTTTATATCTGTTGTCCCCAGGTCATTATTAATAGCGCTTCTTTTCACTCTCCTGAGCGTCCCAGTTTGGATGATAAATTATACGGTTACTCTATCCAGAGCCCCTTTTTAAAAAAATGCTTTTTTTGGTATGAAATCTAATACACAGAGAAAAGTACGAAAATATAGCATCCTCTATTTTCGAAGCTCTTTCAGAACTTGCAAAAGTCCAGAGATTTCCCAAATTATCAAGAAAATGGCTTTAGCAGATCAAATTTTTAATTAGTTCAGGAACGGGCTCCCCTGAATTCTGGGCTTGATTTCCTTGCCACATGCTGCAGTGGGTCCTGTTGCCGCGACATGGCTGGCTCTGGATTTTCCATGATGCATCTGGAACCTCAATGTGACTTCCCTCTTCCACCATACATGAGAACAGCTGGGGCACATGAGGGCACTTGTCACTGTAAGGGGAAGAGCTGATTCAGGTTACCATGGCAACACTCTTTCCTGAAAACCTCTGACAGACACTTCCTGGGGAGACAGGAAGTAAGGACAGGAAGACACCGGGGTCACTCTCTTCCCATGTCCAGCTTTCCCCACCGCCCAGACTTGTCTGATATTTGAACTTTTCCAGGTCAGCTTTTTTTTTCCAATTCCCATCAGCAGAGCCGTCCTGGGGGTGAAAGCAACCAACTGCTCCTGTCCCCTTCCTTCATAGCCAGCCAGTGGTGTCCCCAAAATCATTTAGTAATAAGCTAACTACAAATTACTAGTGAGGTCAAGATGCTTCAAAAGTTATGCAGCTGATTTCAAAGTAAAAAAGAAAAAAAAAACAGTGTATGGACTTACACTTTTATAAGCAATGTTATGACATTAATAATCGTTCAACAAATGTTTTTGAGCCCCTACCGTGTGCCAGGCACTGTGCTGGAGATTGGAGCTAGAATATTGAATAAAATGGACATGATCCCTGGCGTCATGGAGTTTCCAGTATCCTGAGGGACACAGACATTAAAGGGATAATCCTACAAGAAATACCTAACTACAGTTTATAGTCAGTACTACAGAGGAAAAGTACAGAGTATAAGAGAACGTACAACAAGGGGACCTAACTTGCATTTGAGTGAGTCAGGGAAAGACCCCCTAATAAAGCAACTTTAATCCAGGACCTGGATGATGACTAGGAAGTAGACAAAGAAGTCCATTTGTATCAAGAGTCCAAGAGTCCACAAGAAATATTTTACTTCAAGACCAGGAGAGTTTTGGGGTATGACTTTCAAACCTGCAAATGTATAATCTGCATCAACAATGCTACAAGGCCGTGATAATACCTCATTTCTAGATTGCTAGCTGCGTGTGAAGCTCCTAGCGCAGTACTTGCAATGCAGGAAGTGCTCAGAGCATGGCATTCATCTCTCTGGAACTATTTTAGCAAATGTAGGGTCTCTGCTATCTGAATCCCCAGCACCTAACACAAGTCAACATATTGCTACCATATAGTAGTTTTATGTATTACGTGCTCAGCATACATCGAATGAATGAAGGAATCCATGAGCAAATGAATTAACTGTTATAGGACGTCTTCTACCGAGCAGGCACCGTGCCAGGTACTTTCACAAATACCCTCTCATTTCATCACCATAACATTATTGCACCTTTCTCAAGGATGGAATTCTAATGGGCTGCACTAAACAGCAGCTCTGAAAATAATTATAAAATACAACCCTAATGAAGTTTGGAGAAGCAGATAAGGGAGAAAGTGCATTTTCAGGAGCATTTTGAAATGGCAAGGGAAGATGCAAGCCAGTAAAGTGAAGAGGTACAAATGCTCCAAAGAGTCAGGGAAACAGGACGAGAAAGAGGCTTTAAAGTGGGGCGAGATGGATGGGCAGCATTGCTAAAACTGGAGAGCACTTTGGGCTCCTGAAATGGTTCGCAAAATGTTTTGTAGATGGAGATGATGTCATTGGATTCTGTCGTCCTTGGGATGAGGGTTGGGTATACCCCCATAAGCATTGGGAGGAGATTGGGTTTGGGGAGAATGAAAAGAAAAGAATTTGAGCTCAGTGAAACATTTAAGTAAAGAGAACCTTCAGAAACGGTCATGTTAGAAGGCTAGCCTTTATGGGGCAGGTGGTAATAGAGTCATTTTCTAAACAAAAGTAATAAAAGGAAGTGTGAACTCAGAAGTAGCTCTGAGTCTCACTGGTTTAAGAAAGGGCATCGGATAAGATAGGAAGCTAAGGAGATTATTTTATTTTATTTTATTTTAAGATTTTATTGGGGAATTGGGGGAAGGGAACAGCCAAGTTGTTATCCTTCAATCTTAGTTGTGGAGGGCGCAGCTAGCTCAGCTCCGAGTCCAGTCGCCATCCGGCCGGCAGCTCACTGCTGCTCAGCTCAAGGGTGCCATGTTCAATCTTAGTTGTGGGGGGCCCTCAGCCCACTATCCATGCAGGAGTTGAACCGGCAACCTTGTTGTTAAGTGCATGCACTCTCACCAGCTGAGCCATCCAGCCGCCCATTGGCAGCTCAGTGGCAAGTCAGCTCGGGCGCAGCATCACTGGCCCACGTGGGAATCAAACCGGTGACCCTGTTGCTCAAAACTCATGCTCTTAACCAACTGAGCCACTAGGCCAGCCCAGGAGATGATTTTATATTTTAAGAGGTTTCTCTACTCTAAAAAAGGCAAATCTTACTATGAATGATTTAGACAAAAGAAAGTTTAAACAGAGGTAGGAGTTTATTTCATCAAAGATGGCAGTGGGAAGCATAGAGTTCTGTTAGGGTCAGAAATCTCTACATTTTAAAACTATCCACATTAAACTGGGGATGGATGGAAGAGGACAATATCTGAAAAGGTTCAAGGGGGTAGGAAAAAAAATCCGAAGGCAAAGATAATTGCCCCTCGTAGGGAGC